TGCAGCCAGCACCCGAATGCCGAATGAGGAGGCAGGCCCTTCCCTATATCGAAGTGGCCTGCCTGCATCCAGTCCCAGGAAGCTTCCAGTAGGCCCCGGTAGCCTGAGGCCCAGCACGAGGAGAGCAGGCCTTGGGCCTGGAGTGGTTGCATGTGCCCAACTGCCTTCGGCCTGTGTTTGGCCCTGTACCCGTATCCAGCCCAGGGCCTGCCTCACATACATTCACACAGGCGGCCCAGGGCCTGGGTTCACTCAACCAACTGGCGCTGCGCAACTGCCTGAATTTCCCTGAGTTGCGTGGTGGCCAGAAAAGGGCCCTGAGGGCCTCGTCGAGCCTGCCTTCACTTAGGGCGGCCGACGGGCTGCAAAATGGGGCCTTATGGGGCTCATAGAGGCACTGGCCTCGCATTCCCTCCTTAGCTTCAACAGTCCTCTGAGAAGCTCAATCTTCGATCACAGGGCGCTTTCCCTTCTGCAGAGGTCTCTCGTATTGGGTTACAACTTGAGGAGCGGTCTGCATGAGCTCTTCCCTGGTGAACCAGCGGTCCTCCTTTGGATCAGTGTGATGCCGGAACCGAACGCGGTACTGCAGCTTCGGTTTCGGAGGACGTCCCCTGCCTGCTGGTCTTGATAACGGCAGCTCTCTGTGATCCACAATATCATCCATGTCCACCTCTCCATCCATGGTTGGGGCCAGCATTGAGCGACGAGATGGAAACTGGTCAGTATCTTTGAAAGGTGCCAGCTTGGAGGTGTGAAAGACAGGGTAAGTACGGAGATGACCAGGGATCCGGATAACATAAGATGGCCCATCCGGATCTGTCCCAACGATATCCAAGACTTCCCAAGGTCCAAAGTACTGGGGCATGAGTTTGCGGGAGATCCCGTGCTCCTGTCCCAGTTCTGACGACTTAACCCAGACCCTATGCCCAACCTGAAATGTAGAAGGCCGGCGGTGTCTATTTTCAGACTCTATCATTGCAGCCTGCACCTTCTGCATCTGTTCTACAGCCTGCTGCATCTTCTGTTCATAGCGGTAAGCAAATTCCAAGGTACCTGGTGCAGCATTTGTTTGATTCTCAGGAAGAAGAAAGTCTAGGGGCAGTCTAGGCTTGAATGTTAGCAGTAAGCTGTTTGGGCTCACCCGGTGGCGCTGTGTACAGCGTTGTTGTACAAGCTGGCGATAAGAGCAAGCTTCTCATCCCAGTCCACCTGCTTGGGCTTGATGTAATGCCTCAAAAGGTATTGTACAGCGCGGTTCAGTTGCTCAGCCTGACCGTTGGCCTCTGGGTGATTCCCAGAAGTCATCTGCAGCTGAGTTCCCTGCTCTGCAGCAGCGGCCTTCCACAACTCGCTGGTGAACCGGACATCCCTGTCACTAATAATAGACTTCGGTAAACCAAAGTCCCTGACCCAGTTCTCTTTAAACATTCCGATCACATACTCCGTTCTGGCTGTTTCCGGCATTGCCACTAACCTAGCATACTTGCTAATGTGTCGCATCCCACTCTTGCTGGTGATCAGAGTATCCATGAAGTCCATAGACAGACTCTCACCAGGCCGTTCCGGAATCGGAAGGGGCTTCAGGAGCCCAAGAGGAGCCTGAGTACGTGGCTTGTCCCGTTGGCAAACTTGGCAAGTCTCCACCTACAGCTGGGCATCTCTCATCATCGTGGGCCACCAGAACTGCTGCAGCAAGTTCGCTGCAGTCTTCTTATACCCAAAATGGCCGGTGGCATCATGACACTCACCTAAAAACAAACTTCGCAAAGACTCGCTATTGGGAACACACAATCGTTTATTCCCTGCTTTCTCAAGGAACAGCAAGCCATTGACCAATTCAAACTCAGCACAGGTCTTCTTGTCCTTTGCCTGAAGTCTGCGTATGATCTCAGACATGAACTGGTCCTCATGATAGGCTTCCACCAAGGACTGAGTAACATGGTCCGTCATATTAAACTCGGTAATCAGCGCACCTGAGAAATCAGGTCTACGCGCAACCTTGTTGTACTCCCCTTTCAGATACTGAGGGTCAAAGTCATACTGCTCAATGACTTCGATCCGATGCTTGAGAGCTTCAGAAAGTACAGGCTGGGTTCTCATCCATCTCAAGGTTTGATGTTCAGTCCTGAGGATGAAGAATCTCCCAAGGAGATAGTTTCTCCAATGGGTCAGAGCCTTGTAAACCGCATAGAGTTCCTTCTCATAGGTGGACTTAGCCAACTTCTGAGACGGCATTTTTTTGGACATGTACTATGTTGGCCTCAACTTTGGCCCCTCCTGCTGCGCAAGCACGGCGCCAATGCCATATTGACTGGCATCCGTGGTGACTATGAATGGCTTGTCAGGATCA